CAACACTTGATTTACCGCTGTGTTCAGGCATGTGGTGATGCCACAGCGCCACCTGGCTACTAAGATATGCTACTGCAAATTAGACGTAGTTACACACATTATTAAGTTTAACCTTGAACAGTCAGACAAGATGAAAATCAAGAGGCTGATGCTCAAGGAACATGCCCAAAACTTTTCATTGGGATATATGAGCTACACCACTGAAGCAAACCGATAGATGTAAAAGGTTATTTGAAACTATGCTTGAGGAAAAAAGGTTTCTTGACAAAATATAAAAAGAAAAATGTCATTTTCAACCTTGTGACTGAGTGACATAGTGATATTTGTGAAGTGATTTATTTTTTCAGGAAAATGGATTTTCTTATTGTTAAATTATCTTTTAAAGTATTATTTCATTCAGACAAAGGACATTTAATCGCAAAAGTTAAGCAGGTGACATTATTCGTTTAGTGAAACTGATTTATAAAAGCTAAATTTTAATCCGCCCATGCCTAACACAAATATTATATAACACAAACTTAAACAGCTGTTTCTGCACTCTGCTGTGTGTGTATGACAGGACTGGACATCAAACCACACAATTTTTATATACAATTCAGTGCAGTTCTGTGTGAACTGACCAGCTCATTCTGTTTATAGATGCTGGGGGCTTTGAAGCTTGAGAGACAGATAATTTTCAGAAAAGTTAATGATTTTGTATCTGCATTGATACTGGAGACTTCCCATTGTCAGATTTTAGAATTGCTGTTGTGACTTGCGTGTGTGTGTGATTATGTATTTTATATTATGTGTTTTAAAAGCTGAAAACCCAGTGTTTTATAGAGTCGAGTAATCCTAAGACTGTGAAAATTGTTGAATTAGCTATGGCTTTTGACTCAGTATTTATCTTCTCCTACAGTTATGCAATTATGAAAAGCAGCATTGTGAGAAGCCTAGTGTGAAGAGTCAACGATCCAAAAATTACATAAATGAAGGGATAATATAAAGGGTAAATAAATTAACTAATGCATATCTCCATGAAAACTTCCCCAGCTGATTACTTCAATATACTTTCAATAACTTTTAGATTGCAAGTTTTCTGAAATTGTATGTTTACATATACAAATTATGCATTATCTAATCAAATATGTATTTTTCCAGAACAGAAATGTAAACACTGGATGAAGCCAGGTTTAAATTTCTTGTTTCATTTTGTTGAAATGTTAAAGTCAAAGGATTTTACAAAAGGATGTTTTTGCCTATCGTGTCTTGCCTTAAGAAACAGTGTGGGTGCAAATCAGTCAGAGAGGTCAGATGCTGCCCCTCGATACTCTGGAAAAAAAATAGAATTGAAACTGTATATATGTACAGTATACAGTGTATATCACTTTCTCTTTCTATCTCTTATAGGATTTTGGTAGCCTAGCATTTTATTAATAATTTCCTTCTTCCTGCAGTCTCATTTGGTGCAACCACTTTCAGGATTCCAGCATAATGTATTCAGCCTCCATGACTATAGTCCTCTATAGTTACCCACTTTTTAACATGCACTGGCACTACAGATGTTGTGGTGCTCAGAACATATCCTTTGAATGTCTGAATATTCCACTATTTATTTCAGGATCAGCCTGGGTCCCATCCTAGCAAACACATGGAGGGCATGGAAGTTAGTGCTTACAATGAATTAGAATTTATCAGGATTTGTGAGGTAAATGAGATTTCACAGTTTTAAAGTCTAGTGTATATATGTATAAATGCAATGATAAAAAGGAACTGAACACATCTTTTTGAGACTGATAGTCCAGCACAATCATAATAGAAGTGCAGCAAACAAAACAGACAATTAGACAATTACTATCTTTACTTGCATCAGTTCCATTACCAGACCCGACACTTCTACATTACAGTAGGTGGGAACTTCAACCACTAGAGGTCGACAGACACAAGAGATTTAGCTGGGATTAGTTATTCTCAGTGGTAGTACGCAGTAGTATTCATATTCTTTACTTAAGTTACAGTTCTAATATGAAACTGTAAAAATACTATGTCATAAGTAAAATTTCTGCATTGAAAATGTTACTTAAGTCAAAGTGTATATGAAAATTCAGAAAGAAATTCAGGTATTAAAAGTAAAGTATTCAATGTAGAACCTGAACCATCTCTTAGTTATGCTGCTATAGGCCTAGACTATCGGGGGATTTCCCATGGTGCACTGAGCTCCTGGCTGCCTCCTCGCTCTCTCTCTCTCTGTTC